TTCTGAAAGGACACAGCTTTGGAAGCCCTGAGGTCATTGCCCCCCACAGGGGGTCGACAGCAACTAAAAATGAAAACTTTTAGGAGGTCCAGGGTGGTACAAATGATTAATACACCTGGTTGCTAACCAGAAAGTTGAAGGTTAGATTCTACCCAGAGTAAACTTGAAAGCCCTTGGTGATCTCCTTCTAAAAACCCAGACACTGAAAGCCCCGTGGGGCACAGTTCTATGCCAGCCATTTGCGGCCCCCATGAGTCACAGGTAATTCGCCAACTGTTTCTGTTCTGTGTTCAAGAAACTTCTAGCATTATCTCATTTAACTCTTACAACAAACTACACATTAGACCCATCTTACAGGAGAAGAAATCAAGCCTTCAGAAGAATCTGCTACGTGCCTGAGGTCACATAGCAACTGTTGTTTTTATGTGCCTTCAAGTCAGGGCAGACTCATAGCTGATCAGTTTTCTGAGGCTGTAAATTGAAAGGGAAGAGAGTGCCCATTTTTCTGCCCTGGACTAGCTGTTGGATTTGAACTGCAAGCCTTTGTGATGGCAGGACAACTTCTTACGAGGCCACCAGAGCTTCCTCACAGTGCCACTAGATCTTATATTTGGGGGGCAGACGGTCCTAGGAGGAACTTTGAGTTGTGGTGCTGGAGAAGAATACCTATGGACTAACCAACAAAAACAAACAGATGTAAAAAAAAAAGTACAGCCAATGTGCTCCTTGGAGGCAAAGATGGTGAAGTTTCTTATTTTAGGCATGTGGCTAGGAGGGGCTGGCTATTCCTTGGAAAGAGACATTATGCTTGGAAAAACAGGGGGTCAGCAAAGAGAGAAACCCCCCAAAAAGATAGCTTGACACAGTGATCTCAGCAGTGGGCTCTAGTGTGTCAGAGACGGCAGTGTGTCAGAGAGGAGGATGGCACAGGACTGGGCAGGGTTCAGATGGACAGCACCTAGCAACAAGGAGGAACTTGTATCTAGTTATCATACGGGCTCAACAAAGAATGGAATAAATCACATGTGTGTAACAAATAAAGCTGTTTACAGTTAGGGAGTGAAAGGACTTATTTATGAGGTAGGTTATCTTGCGGGATGAAGGCGGGATGAGCCAGGTAAAAAGAGGGCATCTTTTTTCTTTTTCTTTTTGGTAATTTGCGTGTCATCCTTGCGCAGGGGCCTTGCTAATCTTCTCTGTATCGTTTCAATTTTAGTATATGTGCTGCCGAAGCGAGCACTCTTTTTTCTTTTTCTTTCCTTGTTGTGTACCGTCAAACCAGACCTGATTGACACAGGAGGAGAGGAAGAGATTGCCCCTCCTTTTTCAGCAAAACGTGTGATGGACTCGAACTGTGTGCCTTTGGGATTACAGTGCAGCTTTTTGCCACTAGGCCACCAGAGCTCCCTTAGAAGAGGGGAACTTGAATGCATCTCGTTTGTAGGGGGTCATGCATGCCATTTGGTAAGTCGTGTTTAGCAGTTCACCATTACAGGCTGCTCAGTTGGCAGTTTGCGTCTTGTCAGTTGCATGGCCTGGCTGTTTGTTGACAGTGTTGCTGTTGCTGGTAGTTGCCATCAAGTTGGTTGACCTTATGTCTAAGGGAATGAAACATCACCTGTCCAGTTCTATCCTCACAACTGCTGGTATGTTCAAGTCCAATGTTGTGGCTGCTGAGACAATCAACCTCCCAGAGAGTGTCTATGACCCTCTATTGTTGGAAGCACGATGTCCTCACCTAGCAATTGACTGTAGACCTTACAGAACTGAATCTAAGAGGCATCATTCATTGTCATGCCAATTAAACTCTGGCATGCCAACAGCCCCTTCTGCCTTCAGAGATGTAGAGTGAAAAGTTGCCAAGTTCCTGGGCATGGATTGAATGGGGAGAGCTGTGTGTGTACTGTCATAGATGCCAGACAGGTGGCAGGGACCTGGGCCTGCCTTGAGGCCCCTCCTCTTGCTGCCCCTCTTCCCCACCCGCTCCCTGAGTTGTCTGACTTTCCTTCCTCCTTCTGGCCTGCCTGCCCCGTGCTCAGCACTACCCCCAAGGACCAGGTGGAACTGGGACCAGGTGGCTCCTGGGTGGGGCACAGAGGAGCCAGCCAGTATCTGAAGTCTTCTCAGACCCTATCTAATCTCAGAGTGTGATGAGAGGCTCCAGTCTTCCTCCATCCGTGGGGATGTTGTTGTCTTGGTCAACAAATACCTGGGCTCAATTGACTCCCCATTTTACAGATGGGGAAACTGAGGCTCGGAGAAGAGATGTGACTTAAACAGTGTGTATAAAGAAAAACTTGTTCCTAAGCCAGGTCTTTATACTCAAAACCCAGATATCTCTCTCCTCCAGAACAATTGCTCTCCCTGCCAGCCCTCTCACCCTCACCACAGGAAACACGTTATCTCAGCTCTAGAGAAGGACTGGGGGAGGAGAAGAAGAAAGATGGGCTGACAAAGAGCTTCTAATACCTGGAAGAGGGTAGTGAGGCCAGTGCTTCCTCAGACCAGCACATCCGTCTCCCACGGATTTGCCCTTGGGTTTATTCACCCACTTTCCTCCACACTCACTCACTAATTCACCCACTCTTGCTCATGGGTATGGTATTACCAAGTCTCTCCAACTGGTTCACTTACTCATTCACTAATTCACCCATTAATTCCCCATTTAGTAATCTACCCACCCCCTCACTCACTTACTCACTCATTCACTCATTACTATTTGTGTTTTCACTAATTCATCTACTTTTGCTCATGCGTATTACTAAGCAAACTTACCCACTCATTCATTCATTCATTCACTAATTCACCATCCACCATTCAAGTACTCATTAATTTGATCGTTCACTACTAATTCATTCAATCTTGCAACTCACTCATTCATCCTCATGGATTCACCCATTTATTTATTTATCTCCACAGTCAACACTCTTGGCACCAGCAGCCAGGAAATGAAAAGACGTATTGTGATGGGAAAGTCTGCTGTTAGAGAACTCTCCAAAGGACAGAAGAGCAATGATGTCATTCTGGAGACTAAGGTGTGCCTGATACAGGCCATGGTCTTTGCAATCACTTACTATGAGATCTGGACAATGACTAGAAAGGATAGAAGGAGAATTGATGCCTTTGAGCTGTGGTGCTGGAGAAGAGTATTGAGTATACTATGGACTGCTAAGAAAACAAACAGGTTGGTCCTAGAGAGGGTTAAGCCAGGCTGCTCCTTGGAGGCATTCTGGGGCTTTGTCTGACATACTTTGGACATGTTGCCAGGAGGGACCAGTCCTTGGAGAGGGATGTCATGCTTGGGAGGTTGGAGGGTCAGTGAAGGAGAGGAAGACCCTCTACGAGGTGGATTGAGTCAGCGAATGGGGTAGGTGTGTTGGAGACAGTGAGATTGGCAGAGGATAGAGCAGGGTTTAGGGCTGTTGTACATAGGGTTGCTATGAGTCGCAGGCACATAACAACAAATTCGCTCATTAATTCACCTACCCTCTAACTTATCCATCTGCTCACTTGTTCATTTGCTCTTTCACTAGCTCACACACTCTCACTCCTAGGTGTTGCCAAGCCCTCTCAGCTGCCTTTCCAGCGGGCAGAGAGGACAAGCCCCCAGGCCTCCAAAGTCACAGGCCCTCACCAATGCCTCCATCTCTGGCTCCTCGGGGCGGGGGGGGCTGCTCCTCCCCAGTTGGATGAGGCCTGGAGGATTTGAGAGGAGGAAGCGTCAACCATGACCTGAAGGGCCACAGACCCAGCCACAGAACAAGAAGACCCAGTCCATAAAAATCATGGGGCCCCTTGTTCAAATACCAGTGAGCATTTTCACAATGGCGGCCACAGGGAATTAAAGCAAATGAGGGCCCCTTGGCGGCCGAGGTTCTGTGCAGTTGCCCAAGTTGTGTGCCCGTGAAGCTGACAGGGAAGAGAAGAGATAGCAGAGAGGAAGAAGGGAGGCCCAGAAAGGATGCACAGAGGGGGCGGGAGAAGGAGGAGGGCCCAAGTATTAGCTCCGGTGTTTAATCAAGGCATCCCATTTAATACTCAATCCACCCTCTGAGGTTGCACATTTTGCAGAGGAAACTGAGGCTCAGAGAGGGAAATCATTTACCCAAGGCCACCTGATTACTAGGTGGTAGGCGCCTGAATGCAAATCCTGGTCTGTGGGGCTGTAAGCCCTGGCTCCTCCTGTCCTGGGGAGAGGGCAGGGGGCAGGGTTGAGGGAGACAGGAGGATAGAAGTGAGAGGGGAGGGTGGAGCCCATGCCCAGAGCTGCTCCTGTACTGGGGCTGTGGGTGGGTCATGGGGACTCAAACCCTGGGACCTCTAGTCCACTCTCCCTCTGGAAAATGTCGAGAAGAAAAGAAGCCGGAAGTGAGGCGAGGGAAGGGAAGTGGTTGGTACCAGTGGCCTGGGATTCCGGTCTGATCCGTGGATCTCAAGGGAGCCTGGTTTCAGCAAGAAGGCGAGAATGAATGGCATGGCTGGAGAGTTAAGACGTTGGGCATGTGGGCATTGGGCTAGTAGTGTCTGCATGGCTCAGTTAGAAACCACATTTGGGGTGACCATGACTTGGTGTGACTCAGTTAAAAGGTCAAGAGAGGGCACCAGCGAATTTTAGTGTGTGGCTTGGAGATTCCATAACTGACCCTTGGTGAGTTGGGGCCCCAACAGTTGTAATTAGCACCCCCAGTGTTAGCCAGAAACCAACCAACAGCTAAATCCCCTCTGCCCCGCCCAGCCCATCCACCAGTGGGGGACCAGATTAACCATTAACCCCTACCCCTCCCCGCAGAGCCTCCACCCTGTGAGGAGCCCAGGCTACACTCCCTGCAGAGTCTCACAGAGGACGGTTTGCTAGGAAGGGAGGCAGAGAGGGCACTGGGGAGGAGACACAGAGAGAGAGAGAGAGAGAGAGGGCGGAGCGCGGGGCCAGGGCTGGGCCCACAGCCTTGGGGTGGGCATCCTGGGCTGGGCAGGTGGCCGACGTGTGGTGGCAGGGGAGAATGCGCCTCTCCAAAACCCTTGTCGACATGGACATGGCTGACTACAGCGCCGCGCTGGACCCAGCCTACACCACCCTGGAGTTTGAGAATGTGCAGGTGTTGACGATGGGCAATGGTAGGTGTGGGCAGGTGTGCCCAGGTGTGTCAGTTGGGGCCAGGTGTGCCCAGGTGTGAATGCAGTCTTTGGCACTCTGGATGGGGAGGGGATGGGATTGAAAATGGTAGGTAGGGCTAACACAGGTGTTAGCAGGTGAAGGGATTGGACCCAGGTACGGCGGCCAGGGGCATTCTGGGTGAAGGCGTGGGGCGGGGGGGGGTAGGTTTCCAGCAGAAGCCTAGTCCGGGTAGTCCTGGAAGGCCCTTCCAGGCCCCATTCTCTCCAAGTTCTTCCGCTTGGCATGCCACTGGGACAGGAGACATGATGGTGAACTCCTCTTTGGCATCCAGCTCCAGCAATTCAGCCCAATATGGCCCCTTCCTGGCCCTCTTGGGCCTCAGTCCAGAGAGGTGGAAAGGTATGTCCTGTTCCTGGCTGTGGTGGGTGGCAGCAAATCTGCATTTCAGGGTGCCTTTGGGGCTCTTTTAACAGCACCCCACTTAGATAAAATGAAATTTGCAAGGGGCACTTGGCTCAGATCAACTTGGCTGCGTGTATGCTGTTCTGTGCTCACGTGTGTGATGGCTGTGTGAACATGTGGGTCTCGTATAAGTGCGTGGGTGGGATGTGTGTGTTGTGTTGATGAATGAGTGTGGGTTTACCAGTGTCTGTGGGAATTTGCCCATTTGTGTTCATGTGTCTGTGTGTTTGTGGCCTGTGTACATTCCCACAGGTGTTTATTCACTGAGGGGGTCTCGTTGGCGTGAGGCTCTGTGTTTGTCTAGCCTGGGCATGGAAGGGCTTGTGGGGTTGTGTGTTCCTGTGTCTGTAGGGAGTGGTGGCCGTGTGCTGTTTGTGTGGATCATGCCTCCTTCTGCTGTTTGTTCATGTGGCCTGTGATTCCCGGACGTGTGTCCTGTATCGGCATGTTGCCGCGTGTCTCGTCTGTACCTGCTTCAGATGCTGTGTGTACATCCCTGAGTTGCGGGTAGACACTCCGGCAGGCGTGATCACTCGGATATGAGGTGTGGGGTTTTGACTTTGCCTTTTGCCAAATGAGAGTCCCATCACCAACATGGCTGTTTGACTCCCGGGCAGGTTCTTGTGTCTGTTGGAGAGGTTTCTCCAGCCTCTGCAATGTTACTGAGAGGTGGACAGTTCTCCTCAAGAGGATTGGGAAGCCAGGAAGCTCCCTGGAGGGAGTCCTCACTGGTCCCTGGGGCAGCCGAGCTCAGCCTGCCACCTGCTCCCTTTCTGTGGCTCAGAGTGGAAGTCCAGCTGTGGCTTCAGCCAATGCCTGTACCACTGTGGTCAATTCAGAGAGAAAGAAGAGGTGGCAACCGGATAGGGGGCATCTACTGCTGTGGCCAGTCCTACCAGGGCATTTGCCACCCCCAGCTTGTGTACCTACCCTGTGACCTTGGGCATATCACTTGCCCTCTTTTGACCTCTGTATAGTCTACAAAATGGGCCCAAGCCTGCTGGCCACCTAGCTTTTAGGATTGTCCAGGGCCACACGCTGGACACGGTAAACAAGGAGGTGCCGTGAGGTGTTGTGTGATCTTACAGGGACAGTGCGTGCTGCCACTCTCCTGGCCACAGTCCTGAGTTGCTCCCTGGGACCTGGCCCCACCACCCCTTCAAAGCCCTTGTCCCCAGTTCCCAGGAACTTTGTGTTTCTGGGGCAGAGGCCAAGTCCAGCCCCTTGGCTAAATGTCCCCAAAACAGGATGATCTCTGGCTCAAAACCACAAAGATCTGAGCTCAGACTCTGCCAAAGCTCCTCCTCACCTGTGTGAACTAGGCAAACCATGTTGCCTGGCTGAGACGCAGTTTTCTCATCTGTAAGATGGGGATAAATACTAGTGTCTCTCTTTGAGGGCTGTCCAAGGATTAAACAAGATGGGGCCCTAGAGTCCTTCACACTGGTCACTGGTACTGGTCCCCACATGGTGGTCTTGAGGCCCAAAGCATCAGTGAGGAGGACCTGCGTTCCCAGAGCCTGAAGTGGTCTCGGGGTTTATATGAGGCTCCTTCAAAGTGCTTTGCATACATCCCGGGCTGCTGGCTCACAGGCTCCAACGATAACTTCTCCCTACCCTTGCCTCCCACTCGGTAACAGGGGGTCCTTACTTATCTGAGGTCACCGGGGACGCCTTGACATGTGCAGCTCTGATCAGCGAGGTCCAGCACTCCTGAGCTATATAGATCCAGCTCTTCTCCTTAATGGCTGTGGGATGACCCTGGACAGGTCACAGTCCCCTGCAAGACTTCATGTCCCCCTGGAGAATGGGGCTGAGGGTTCCTTCCTTCCCCATAGCCTCTGCCCATGGCCATGGGTTGTATGGTCAGCTTGCCCAGGGGATGGGGTTGTTGTCGGTCTGCTCACCCTGGACAGTGTCAGATTACTGGATTAAAGAAGGTAAGCGGGACTCATTTGTCCTTGCTCACTCTTGGGAACAGTCACACATTTTTTTCCACCACAGAGAAGATCCTATTTCCAGATATGGCCGCCATCTCTCTCTC